ACCCGGCGGGCCCAGCGAGCCGAGGGGGGACCACGAGGAGGGGCTCCTCAGCCGACGGGTCCTGGCCTGGGAAGAGGAGGAGGAGCGGCAGCGGGAGAGGAGCGCGACCCGACACGGGTCCCGCCGCCCGTTCACACGTGCAGGAGGCCGCGCTTCTTCCCCGCCTCCCCGCTTTGCCGCGCGCGCGAGACTCGGCTACAATGTAACCTTTTCTCGCTCGTTCCGCCGTTCCTTGTTACACGCGGCTCACGTGGGTGGATGGAACCTCCAAGGCGCGCGAGAGCTTCCGAGAGGCGGCACGAGCGCCTTTCCCCTTCGCGCCGGACAGCGCCACCCAGCGCCCCGGAGGAGCCCAACGCTCCCGAAGGCGCCCGGACGCTTTTTCGTTCTCTGCCGGGGGAATTAAGGGGTGGGTGGTGGGGCAGCAGGCTGAGGCTCCGCGGGGTGCGCTCCCAGGCTGAGCCACAAACCATGGTGTGCAAAGTGCAGCAGCTGGGCGCGCCACCCACCTCGAAACAGACATCCTGCAACTTAGGAAGCTGTGTGAAAGCTGCGCCTTTAACATTCACAAAACCTGAAACTTACATCACTTAAAATTTAACAAGCCCCACACTGGCTGTTTTTCATGGCCCTCCGTGAAGTTACTTTAAAAGAAATACTTCCAGGCATGTTGAATCTTTAGGTTCTGAGTATACGTCATGGATCTTTTGGGGACTAATTTTTTGCATTTGTTAAAATTAATTCTAGGGTTCTACAGTATTTCAGCTGTTTTGTTCTATGGAGTATATCCCTTAAGGCTGCGTTGTTCAACTGCACTCATTTTGCTTTGGCGACAGTTCCTTGAGCTGGGTCAGGCTGAGAGAATCCTCGGGCAAGGCTGAGCTCTTCCAAATGTGATAAGACTACAAACCCCATCCTCCTCCTCATTATCATCGTCCCCAGCAAATATACCCAATGCATCCGGATGGTATGAATTCGGGGGAAACAAGCCGGTAGTTTGAAAGAGACCTGAAGCTGGACAGCTGCAAGAAATCACCATCAGTGTTGGGAAACCAGAAACACTCCTGGAGTTCTTTCTATACATGTTGAGGCTATAGTCTTTCTACCGATCCCAGGCAATGTTGAATTCAAGGGACTGCTGGCTCTGTTAGCTTCCAATTCAGGCTAAGCTGTGGTTTGTTGAACAAGCCACACATGCAGAATTTACATAAGCCTTCATCTATGGCTTACACCATGTCACGATGAACACTTGTCACAATGAAATGCACTAAACCCAAGCCAGACCTAATTATGGCTTAATATGTGTGAATTTAAATACAGAAGTACATCCTGGGGGCTGTTCTTTGTTGTCACTAAGAGGCAAGTGACTTAAGTCATTATATTTTTCTTAAATGCAGGGAGACTGGCACCTCCAGAAGACAGAATCCTCTTCTGGTCTTATTGGCATATAAACCATGACTGCATGGGAATTTCACTGGGACCCCAGTGGAAACCTCTCTACGCTGAATAAAACTCTAGCAACTTTACTTAGGTGATGATCATTGTGCATGGCTGTTCTCGTGAATGACTTTCTCATAATTCTTCATTTAGAGTCAAATCTGAAGGTCTGGAACAAGTACCAAAAGCTTTTGTTTCACCACATAAGTAATTCAGTTCCCCAAGTAGACAGATGCTGAGAATGGGTCTTGCTCCACTTCTGATGGCTGAACACGTTGTAGGAGATCTCTGGAGGGTCCAAGTCCTTGTGGCTTGAGGCAAAGTTATTTTTAAACACTGCTTTCATATTTTAAGGAGTGGGGGGTGCATTGAGACATGAGAAATCAGTCCTTCCAAATGTACTGTAATGTTGCATGGTGCTTGCCAACTGCAGAGTTTATGTGAACGTTATTTTTGTTGTTGTTACATTCAAAGTAGACTATCCAGGAAACTACAGAAGGAAATAATGACCAGGAACCACTTTCTTTTGGGAGGGTAACTTTTTATTGAAAATTGACAAACATTAGAAAGGTATTAAGTTCAACAGTGCTGGTTCGCTCACGTGGATCATGTAAATATATATTGAGTGCAGCTGTCAAATCACAACTGTTCATAACAAAGTGTTTTAAAAAAAGAAGAGACAGGAAAACGAATTCTTGGGAACCAGACCATGCATGAATGTTCCAAATAAAGTTCCAAAGATTCTCAGAAGATACATTTTAAGGGCAGTTACACGTGACTTGCATGATAACTTTGAAAAACAAGAGGATGAATTACTGACACCTTTTTTTTCCTTCACAACCTTGATACTGATTAATAGAAAAATCAGTTCCTACCCCAAAAGGATTTTGAAGCGGTTAGAACTTTGGGGATTAATTGACAACAGTAATAATACTTAGGTCTTTATACAATACATCTTCCTTCCTTCAAATGCTTAAAGCTCTTTGTGCATTTTAATCACAGTAAGTCTTCCTGCAAAGAAGGCAAACATGATCATTTCTACAGGACAGGAAGCTGAATCCAGGAGAAGAGATTTAAACAATGAACTTTCTGGCTCAATGCAATACGCTGAATAGAAATAAATTTAGTGGATTTTTTTTTAAGTTAGGAAATATTAATCATTACTTATGGCAGGTTATCTAATCCCCCCCAATGAAAAATATAATTTCCCCTCTCAGACCTCCCCCTACTGCCCTTTTACTTAGTGTTAAAAGTAAATATTCCTCAGAGGTAGCAAAGTCACGAGTTTTTCTATTTGTTGTTCATTGCATAATTTTTATCCACACCAACCAATGAATGAATAGTACATTTTTTCCTCTACAGGTATTTGAAAAACACTATCATGATATTGAGGCAAAATAGAAAGGGAATAATAATAATAATAATAATAATAATAATATAATAATAATAATAATAATAATAGTCCTGTCTCAGTGTAGAGTAGCCACATCATTAATTGGACTGCATCTTTTGGGTGCTCTTCAAATTTTTGATGCTCGCCTTTCCAATTATTTCCCATCTTGTCTCATAAAGTACAAGATACTTCATTTAAAAAAAAAAAAAAACACCCCACACACGTCATAAAAATGTGGGTGGGGAAAACCAAACCCAAATCTTTCCAAGGCTAATTCCTTTATTTATTCTTGCCTCCCCCTCCCTTCCCTTCCCGAGCAGGATGGGAACCCCTACACGTTCACTCAAGCAGAAGTCTTCTCAGACAGATGCAGCAGGTGGAGACAGATTAGAAAAAGCTACAGAGAGAAAGAGAGAAAGGGGAAGAAACAAAGATTGTCAGTTAAACAGCAGAGGGATAAAGAGAGGCAATCAAAGGCAAAGGAGAATACCAACAACTGAGGCACACAATCAAATCGAGAGAGGAAAACAGGCAAGTGAATCTACATTTTTGCTGCCCTGCTGGGAACTCCAGCAGTGCAACACCATCGCCTCAAAAGAGGACACACATGTGAAATAGCTGAATACAGGTAGTCCTCGTTTAGCAACCACAACTGGGACCAACAACTTGGTTAAGTGAAGCGGTTGCTAAGTGAAACCACGACTGGGCTTACGATCTTACTTCAGCTTTCCTTTGCTTTACAGACCTGCGAAGGTGGTCAATGCAAGGATTGGTTGTAAAGTTCCTTTTCCATCACAACTGTAACTCTGGTTGCTAAACAAGGCAGTCGCTAAATGAGGACTACAACACACATTGTAATAGACACACTGCGGATGTCTTGGGGGAAAATGCATGAGTGCACAATACAAATATAACATATATATTTCAAATCAATGCAAACATTCAGAGGAAAACAAGGCAGAATTATAAGGCAACACTTGCTAAATCCCTTCCCCATGGTTTACACCCAGCACTTGCAACTCAGGGGTATTCTGCCCCCAGAGTTGGAAGCTTCACCCTAGTTCTGCAGGCAAAGGAACCCAAATGTTCTTTGCTTCTTTTTCACTCTAAAATAACCCTTTCTTGCATAATGTGCTTCACTCAGCTTTGGGGGAAAGGAAAAAAACCTAGAAGGCGCAGCACCTGCTTGAATTGCAGGAATAAGGCCTTCTGCTTTCAAAGTGGCCACCTCAGTTCTATCCAAAGGAGACCTGGTTTTGAGAAGCCATCAGGAGATCATCGGATACTGTTTCAGGTTCTCCAAGTCTCCACCTTCCACTTATACTGCAGAATCATCAAGGAATATCCCGATACCTTGTTTCTGGACGTTTACACTGATTTCTTACGTTGCATTTCAATCTCATTCAACAGTTGACGACTCAGAAACATTTTCAAGGACTTCTAAACCCATCACAGGCCCAGGGATAAAAAGCTCCCTGCAGTGCTTGCAAGGGGTTAAGCAAGAAAGGACATCATGCAGAACTTAAGTTAACCAATATTTTAAGCAGTCCATCCTTAGGCTGGTATCTTTCAGTCATTCTAAGCTTCAAAGCCCATACTCCACAACCTCATGGGAGAAGGCCATGATGGCTGGGAATTATGGGGACTGAAATCCATCACATTAACAGGGAACCAAGTTGGAATAGGCTAAAGGATCATTTTTTAAACTCAGGGGATACAACCACAGTTCAATCTGAGCCTCAATTAATCTGCGAGACTCTCATTAAAAATCCTGTACTGTCAACATCAGGTTGGGGAAAGCTGCATCAGTATATGTGATTCTGCCATATTATTTTCTCCCAGTGGTGTGAGTAGCAGAGTCAGAAATGTAAGGAAGACTTAGCTGTTCCCACTGTTCCTAACCGTCTTCTTCTAAAACAAAACCACCAATCCATAATACATTTAGCACGGCTTTCTTGCCAAGGGGGAAGGAGCTACAAGCAACTAATCTTTTGCTTGCTGCTGGAAAAAGTTCAAAAACATGAACATCTTTTCAGAGACCAAAATGTTAATTTAGAAGTCCAGAATTAGATCTTAAATGTCCTTGCTCTCTTTTCCTCTTCCTTTCCACATTTGGCCGGAGGAGCCAATGGAACAGCTTTGAGAAAAGTGGTGTGTGTCCACCAGCTAATTAAAAATTGTTTATGAACCCCAATGGCTCAAGTGGCTTTATTAATGGGATTCCTGCCCCCACTTAAACAAATAAAAGCAGCAGTGGGAAAATAACACAACTTTTCTAATAAAGAATATTCAAAGGGTATGTGTATGTGTGGACGCTGCGATCAAATTTTTTTCCCTTTTTGTCACCCAGTTAGGTTACGATGGCAGGCTTGCATTAATAGTACAGCACATTCACCATCCCACTCCCTGCTGGTAGACACCCAAATATGTATCATCAACCTCCAACATGCTAGCAAAGATTTTTGCGGACTAGTAACTTTGGTGGGCTTGTTCACAAGGCAGCCTAGGGTGGGTATCCTACATATTCCACAGTGTATAAGAAAAGCTGCAATACTGGTCTTTCACATCAGGCACACACCATTATATAGCCAAAAAGCAAATAAAAATAAATTAAACTGTTTGCGTAGAGTATGAGTGATCATGCTGGAAGCATCATGAGATGACCAGGACTGAACCGGAGCGCAATAAATAAGTGAAGGTCCAAGTTCCAGCCCAGTATATTCAAGGGGAACTACTCAGTACATAGCCATGGATTACTGTAAAAGAAGGGTAACAACAACAAAGAAAACAGAAGAAAAACAAAGAAAAACAAAAACAAAAACAAAGCATTAACCAGAATTATTGTCTGAAAGTTTATTTTTCTTTTTTTTAAAAAAAGCTTCCCATCAAAGAGAGAGACAAGGCAAAAAACAAGGAATAACATATGAGAACACGTAAGGGGATTTCATTGGTTCAGAACAATTTCAGTGCAATAAGTTTACTTCTGAGAAAACCAAGATGTCAGATTTGACGTGTTTGCCTAGAAGCCTTTTCAAGGATATTGGAAATATGAAAGTTCATTTGGTGGTGATGCTGAGAGATACACTCTAAGCCAGGGTTCCTCAACCTTGGCT